CTGGAGGCTTTTCGAGCTCGTTTTGAGACTGACATCTTCAATGCTGATGTCTTCCGTTTCAGGCCACTGTTGTCACTACTCTTATCAGAATCCGAGTCACTTTCCATCCTGTCACTGGCAGCTGTGGCAGTAACGGCTGTGACGGCCATGACTCCCTGGTCGTCCTCGTCCTCGTCTGCGTCGCTCCCACCTGCTGGGTCAGCTTCAGGGGCCTCACTGTCGGAGGAACTCACCGGCTGGGTGTGGAGGTCAAAGAATACGTGTCACCCTGAGTCTTGTGTGGATTTCCCAAATAGGAGGGGGAACCCACCAGTGGGGTCTCAAATGTCAGGTCCTGGCTTCCTTGCTTTACAAATGGGGTAACCAAGGCCCAGAATGCCCAGAGAAGGAGACAGGAGGGTAAGATGGTAGACACCAAGGTCAGGAAGTGGCACCCAGGGTTAAATCTCGGGCAAGTAACTCCAGCCTTTCTTGTACCTCAGTTTCCACATCTGAGCACAGTGTTGGCCATAGAGGGCTATGGTGAGGGTGCGCCTGAAGTGGTGCGTGGAGTACCAAGGGCAGGGCCCAGGCATGTTTGCTTTCTCTTTTTTTAATCATTCTATCCTGAGGAAGCTGGCCTAGGACAAGACCTCTGAGCACCTTCCAGGTGCTGCTCAATTTCTACTGCATTCAAAATGACAGCAGAGGCAGCAGCAGGCACAAGAACAGCCACCACTTCTGTGGGCTTCCTCTATGCTGGCCAGTGCCAGGCTCATTCACACCATCAGTCAATGCTTGTGGGACAGCGTACTGCCATGTGCCCAGCACCACATGAGGGGGTAGTGAAGACACAGAAGGGACTGAGGCATGATCCCTTGACCCCGGGAGTGACTGATAACATAAATATGGTTCCCAGTTGTGGCAACGGGCAGAAAATCACTGCATGTGGTTGTAGAGACTGAGGGGTGGGAGTATTTTGCACTGGGTGGTCCATGAGGCCCTTTAGAGGATGACATTTCAGTGGAGAATCTGTCCCTAGCACGCAGAGGGGGACAGGCTATATGCACTCTAAAGAGCAGGAATGGCATGAATGATGGTCCCCTTAGCAGCCAGAAGAGGCTGGTATAGCCTTCCCCGGGCCCGGGAAGATGAGATGGCAAAGGAGAGGCACACAGTGAGACTGGGTGGGTCACTCAAGGTGTTACTGAGGCTCTAAAATCATCAGGCAAAACGCACAGTGAAAGCACGGGGCTTTCTTGGGTCCCTTTCTGAATTCAGTTAGGATGTCTTACGTTTGTGGAAGGAAAACGCAGGAGCCCCAGGAATATTCAGCCATCACTCCTTCATCCAACGAACATCCTGGAATACCTACTATGTGCCAGGCCCTGGCTAGAGACGAATAAGACACGGTCCCTGCCCGTAGGGAGCTCATGGTCTAATGGGGAGACAGCCAAGTAAATATACAGTCACAAGAACAAGAAGGGGATGCCACAACAGTTCTCGAGCACAGAGGCGCTGGGTGACACCAGCCTAGCTGTATCCGAGTAAAACCCACCCGAGCTATTTCATGTCATTTCTATTCTGAATATCTATCACTTAAGACAGAAGAGAAGGCAGATTTTTTTTTTTTATCTTGGTTGTTGATGGACCTTTATTTTGTTTATTTGTAAGTGGTGCTGAGAATCAAACCCAGTGCCTCACACATGCTAGGCAAGCGCTCTTCCACTGAGCTACATCCCCAACCCGGGGATAAGATTTTTTTAAGGCCGCAATCTCTGAAAACAACACAGATGTCCATCAACTGATAGATACGCCATGTGGCAGGGGTACAGAATGGAACAGTCAAGCACAGAGGGAAGGGAGCACTGACACTCTAAGCAGAGGAAACCTGGACCTCCGCGCAGCAAGGAAAATGGATAAAGGCCCCAAAGCAAGAGATCCCACTTAAAGGAATTTCTTGGCTAAATTAGGCAAATCAAAACAGTAGATCTGGGGCTGGGGATGTGGCTCAAGCGGTAGCGCGCTCGCCTGGCATGCGTGCAGCCYGGGTTCGATCCTCAGCACCACATACCAACAAAGATGTTGTGTCCGCTGATAACTAAAAAAATAAATATTAAAAAAATTCTCTAAAAAAAAAAAAAAGAAAACAGCAGATCTGAGGTTGTCAGGAGCTAGAGGGATAACTGAGGATGACTGTGAGTGAGTTTCTTTGTGGAGCAGGGGAATATTCTGGAATTAGAGTGATGATGGTTATATACATTACAAATGTACTAAAGCTACTGTAGAGTTTTAAAATGGTTAAAATGGAGGCCGAGGGTATAGCTCAATGGCAGAGGGCTTGCCAAGCATGTGCACAGCCCCAAGTTCAAACCCCAGGACCACAAAATTTTTTTAAAGAAAAAAGGAAATAGAAAGTGGCTAAAATGATGAATTTTTTATTTATTTATTTATTTATTTATTTATTTATTTAGTTTTCGGCGGACACAACATCTTTGTTTGTATGTGGTGCTGAGGATCAAACCCGGGTCGCACGCATGCCAGGCGAGCGCGCTACCGCTTGAGCCACATCCCCAGCCCTAAAATGATGAATTTTATGTCAATTTTATCTCAATTTTTTTAAAAAGATCACAGAGAAAGGCAAATTCGGGGCTGGGGATGTGGCTCAAGCGGTAGCACGCTCACCTGCCATGCGTGCGGCCCGGGTTCGATCCTCAGCACCACATACCAACAAAGATGTTGTGTCCGCCGAGAACTAAAAAATAAATATTAAAAATTCTCTCTCTCTCTCACTCTCTCTTTAAAAAAAAAAAAAAAGAGAAAGGCAAATTCTCTTGTTATAACTAGCTAGCCAGGGTACAGTGGATTAGACAGCAACCTACTGGCCAAGTAAAATCAAGGAGGAGGACTAAGGGCCTGAGAGAACGTGAGAGGAGTTTCAAGGCACATGCTGACAGTGAGACCAGGAAGGAGAAGCAGAGAGGAGCCAAGTCTGTGTCGAGGTGCTGCAGCTGGGTGGGCGGGAGTGGGAGGGTTGGGGGGAGGTAGCGGTGGAAGGGCTAGACAGATGCTGAAGGTCAGGTCTCTGCAGCACATCAGCGCACACACAGGCAGAACAGAATGGAAACGTGCGAAGAAGAATTTGGGTAGCAGAGCTGGGCTGGAGGGAACCTGGATCGAGGGAATGACAGGCGGGGAACTCAGCCCGCCTTCAGTTTCCTGCCCCCTCCAGTCTCCCTGTTTTATAAAGCCCCTTATTCTTCCCCCACCAACCTCTGCACACAGTCTCAAGCTAACAATCCCTGCTTAACAGAGAAGAAAAATGAGAAACAGGTGTTGAAATGACCTCGCTGCTCAACACCAAGCATGTTTTGTCTGCCTTGTGCCACTGTGGCCAAGGGCCCTTCGGCACAGCAACAGGGCGCCCTGCCTATATAATTTTTGACAAGATTATTATTAAAAAGGACAATACTTAAGTAGGTCAAGCCCCAAACTGAATATGCCAGGAGAGAATAACAACATTTTCACAGTGATTTCTCTCACACCTTTCCTTCAGAGAGTTCAGAGGCTCTCAAATCTGTTACTTCCCCTTGGAGCACACCTGGTGAGTAGAGCAGGGAGAGCTTCAGCTCCACTTTTCACAAGGGGAAGCAGCAGCTCAGAGAGTCTAAGTGACTGAATGATGGGACCAAAGGTCTTTTGTCAAAGGTCTACATCATCATTCCAAGATCTACCATTATTTAAGTCATACTGAGCTTGTCATGACTCTCTATGCAACAGGTGGGAAGTACCACTCTGATTCTGGGGATGAGGATACAGTCAGAGAGAGGTTAAGTCACAGCTCAAGAACAGAATGAAGCCAGGAGCAGTGGCACATGCCTGCAATCCCAGAAACTCTGGAGGCCAAAGCAGGAGGATCGCAAATTCAAAGCTAGCCTCAGCCACCTAGCGAGGGCCTAAGCAATTTAGCAAGACCCTGTCTCAAACTTGGATTGTGGATGGGCTGGGATTGTGGCTCAGCGGTAGAGCACTCGCCTACCACGTGTGAGGCCCTGGGTTCAATCCTCAGCACCACATAAAAATAAATTAATTAATTAAATAAAGGTATTGTGTGCAACTACAACTAAAAAATAAATATTAAAAAAAAAAAAACAGGGGGCTGGGGATGTGGCTCARGCGGTAGCGCGCTCGCCTGGCATGCGTGCGGCCCGGGTTCGATCCTCAGCACCACATACCAACAAAGATGTTGTGTCGGCCGAGAACTAAAAAATAAATATTAAAAAATTCTCTCTCTCTCTTTCTCTCAAAAAAAAAAAAAAAAAAAAGGGGCCGAGGATGTGGCTCAAGTGGTAGCACGCTCGCCTGGCATGCGTGGGGCACTGGGTTCAATCCTCAGCATCACATAAAAATAAAGATATTGTGTCCACCTAAAACTAAAAAATAAATATTTAAAAAGAAAGGAAAAAAGGGGGGGGGCACCTGGGGATGTGGCTAAGCATCCCTGGGTCCAAACCCCAGTATCAATAAAAAACAAACAAACAAATAGAGGGCTAGGGATGTAGCTCAGTGGGACACTGCCCTGGATTCAATCCCTAGTACCAAAACAGAGTGAATGACTAACAGAGCAGGGACCCAGCTCAGGTCTGCTCTGGCCTCAAAGCCTGGGCCACTGGACACAGGCACACATGTAGTCAAAGCCCCTCCTCACTTCAGCCCTTCTCTTTACCSGCTGTAGTCTGGTTTGGGCCTCCACAGCCCATCAAGCGATTGGGACCAACTTGCTCACCCTGAGTACATGCGTACAGCCAGGACCTCTGCATCTTATGGAGGTGGCTTTCAGCAAAGGTTTTGGGAAATCTGACCCACAGAGAAACATTTAGTGGATGTGAATGCTGGTGGCCCAGAGAAGAACCCAGAAGAAATAAAAAGCCAAAGCTTGCCACCTCCAAACATCCCAGCATCGGATGGGTATGAGAGAAACAGCTGGCTGTCTGAATAAGCCTGGAGGTAACTATGGTGCAGAAGAGGCCAGACCTTGCATAGTCTCCTCATTTCCCATTGTGGCCTCTGCTATCCACTGAGCATTTACTGCACATTTTCTCACTGAAGCCTCCCAACAACTGAGAGGCTGAGAACAACATGAGCATGATCCTAGGAACACAGTCAGCAGGCGGCACAAAGCCAGGACCTGAACCCAGGTCTACTTGGCCCCAGCCTCCCTTGTGAGCAGGCAGGCCTCAGGTCCTCCTCCTCCCCACAGAAAGAAAAGAAAATGGGCCTGGGGGAGGGAGGCCTGCACTTTGGTCTCAGCTCAGTTCTGTTGCTGACAAACTTGAGAGCCCTATACAGGTCTCTGCCTCTTCACCTATCAAGGAACAAGGATATATAAAGTGGGATCCTTCTAAGCCAATGGTTCTCAACCATGAGTGATTTTGTCCTCAGGATGCATCTATCAATTTCTAGACATATTTTGGTTAATGAGATTGGAGGTGGAACCAGCCATGTTGGTGCACACTAGTAATCCTAGCAACTCGGGAAGCTGAGGCAAGAGTATCACAAGTTCCAAACAAATCTAGGCAACTTAATGAGACCCTGTCTCAAAATAAAATAAAGGCTGGGCATGGTGACACACACCTCTAATCCCAGCAATTCTGGAGGCTGAGGTAGGAGGATGGCAAATTTGAGGCCAATGTCTCAAATAAAAAATAAAAAGGGCTGGATATGTAGCTCAATAGTAAAGCACCCATGGGTTCAAACCTCAGTGCCAAAAAATAAAATAAAATAACAGGACTGTGAATGTAGCTCAATGCTACAGTACTTGCTTAGCATGAGTGGAGCCCTACATCCAAAATTCAATAACCAGAACCAAGAAAAAAAAAAAAAAAGATTGGGGTGAAATGGACAGGTAGTACTGCAGCTAGCAAGTGAAGACCAGCCATACTGCTCAGCAGTCACAATGCACAGGGGAGACCCTACTGCAGAGAATGATCTGGCCCCACATTTCACTATTATACTGCTAAAAAGGACAAATATTGGGAAACCTGGCCCAGGTCTAAGGGTTATCAGATTTTAGCTGGGGCCCTGTGGATATTCAAGCAAACTCTCTGGGCTTTAGTCTGCTCATCTGTACAATGGAAAAACAGCACGTGCCCAGGCCACTCTCACTGTGGGGACCAAAACACACTTAAGTAAAAAAAAACACCCCAGATGCCATTTTTACCTGCTGGCTTCTGAGGGGATGAGAACTTGGCCCTCCTTTCCTCTTGGGAGGCCTAGCCAAGACTGTCAAAGTATTGAGGCTATTCTGTGGGCTGAGATGGACCAATTTTCAAGATTTACTCTTGAGTAAATACATCAAAGTTCAGAATTATATGCTTAAGAAAAGAATGTTGGA